TATTCCCAAGTCGTCTGACTTCAGAGAGACCAATAACATCATAATTTATGTTTTTTATAGCTTCTTTTAGTTCAAGTAGGTGGGAGTATGAGGACAACGTTCTCGTGTTGTATGTTGCTACATATAACAGATTTTTTTCTAGGTTATCTTTGTTTTCATTGCATGTATTCTCTAGAGGGTTTTGGTCTACGTCTCCCACGGGGACCGGCCGTATTGGGAGAGGTGAAAATGGAGGGGCGCAGCTTAGTTTTTTGGCATTTCCTGGGAATCCGAACTTGAGAATACTTTAGGTGTTGAGTTTAATAATGAAGGTCGCAAGTAACTCGTTATGGTCTGAGGTTTATTTTTTTTTGGGTACTTGTTTTGATTGTTCTGCGCTATTTAGTGCCTTCGAGTTGTTTTTGTCTTCTGGCGACTCAGACAGAAATCTTTTGTTATAAGTTTTCCCTTTGGGTGGACCGGTAACTTGTTCGCGAGGTTTCAACGTAACTATTTTGTCGTAGCGTAGGATTACTTTTTCTCCAGATAACCTTCTATGTTTAAATACACATATACACATATACATATACACATATACATACGATATACATACATATACATATACTTCTATATACATAGCTAGTTAAGAATATCACATAAAAGAGACGAAAAAAAGAAATGGAACATTCTTATCATGCCTTGACGCGTAATTGACTCTTAAAGCTATTTATCGTTTGCGCTCGCCTGATGTTTATCGGCAATGAATTCGTGCAGCTTCAACAGTAAAATAATGGTCATAGAATTTTGTGGAATGCATAGGCATCTCCAGCCCCAAATCCTCGGATGACATCAGACATTTAGCATGTGCGTCATTAAGAAACCTGAACCGTTCTTCGAGATAAAAAGGGGCTCTAGGATTGAAAAGTGAGGATATAAGTATTCCGGCGAGAGCGAATCGGAAGCCACTTAAACTTTGGACGGAATTCAGAAATGTAATCATATTTTCTTAACCCAAATACAAATCGTATGCAGAGATTTTCAAGTCGCTCAAGCTTATCAAGTTGGGCTTCAGTGAGATTCAGGTAGTTGATATCGGCATAGTCTAGAATAGGGAGGAGAAGTACTTGTGCAAGTGCAGCCCTAGTTGCAGTTGGCAGAAAGTTTCACAGTCTTCGCAGGGACCCGGCCGAAGCAAATAACTTACGACTGACTTCTTGTATATATGGGCCCCAAGACAAATATAGATACCTAAATTTTTGACAACAGTACTGATCTCAAGTATAGTGCCATCGAATTGAATTAAGGGCAATTGTGTCCAGGTCATTCTTGAGACCAACCCAGGGCTACCAATTACACATGCCTGCGTCTTTCCAGGATTAACTTTGAATCCGTAATTATGACTCCATTCGCCAATGCGCGATAGGTCAATATTGATTTTGTTGAATGCCTCCGATAACATATTAAGCGGAGCTTGTGTAATTATTTGTTAATAATCTACATAAAGGTGGTAGAACGAACTTAATTGATTAGAGATGGAGTTTATAAAAACAGCAAAGAGTAAAGAAGATTAAACGCCACCCTGCGGTACACCAGCAGAAATACTGCACCAGGAAGACACCGAGTCTTCAATACAAATACGCTGCTGGCGACCAGTCAGGTAACTATGAAACCAATCAATTGTTTTTGGAGATATGTAAAGAGACCGCAGAATGTGAAAATCCATAGTATTAAAGGCGTTGCTTAAATCAAGTAATGTGAGTACCGTAATCTTTCCACTATCCATGCTCAGTTTTATACTATCTGTAATGTGAACAAGTGCAGAAGTCGTGCTGTGACCAGGACGAAAGCCGGATTGGAAGGGGTTCAGTAAAGTTTTTGGAATGGAATTTACTCAGTTGAGAGTGGATGAGGCGTTCGAGTATCTTAGTAGTTAGTAGTTTAGTAATAGGAAAGGTAAAATAGATATGGGCCGATAGTCAAAAAATGATAATGGTTTAGCTTTTTTAGGTAGAGGGATTATTTGAGCATCTTTCCACGCAGACGGAAAAATACCACTTGTCATAGAATGATTCAGGATATTACATAGGATGGGTAGGATTTCGTCAAGGATATTAAGAATCATGTTTTGGCTGATAAAGTCACCTCCTATTGCATTCGATGAAATCGCTAGAATAGTCTTCTTAACATCACAATCAGACAATTGATCAAAGACGAATGGTGGATAGTCAGGAGCTGGGGTAGAAGAAATATATTTAAGATTACTGGCTTTAGTTTTGTCATTAATATCAGACGAAGCGGAGAAGTGTTTATTAAGTAGATCAATATTAATCTTGTTAAGAATAGAGTCTTGGCTAGACTTCGTGACTCCCAATGTTCTTAGAAATTTCCAGACTTTCACTGGATCTCCGTTTTCTACGGAAGAGTGGATATGTTAGCGTTGTGCATTTCTACACATCTTATTGCAGAGATTTCTCCGGCACACATATTTTTGTAGGTTAGTTTCCGTAGGTCAACGCTTGTTTTTCGCCAAACAGGTTTTGTACATAATCTAACGTATCTCCTCGCTAATCCACGGAGCAGGTAAATGTTTAATTTTGATCGATCGCGAGTGTGTGTGCACGTTATATATAAGTTTTTCTAATAAGAGGTGTTATTTTAGTATTCAAAGAAAAATGCAATTTTTTAAGATAAATAATCGGTTGTTTATTTTATAAGAAAGAGGAAGGTATGCTGTTAATAATGGAAGATAACATCAGCCAAATGGCTACCACGACCACGCTTACAGGACCATATCCTTTTAATGAAATTTTGCATAACCAAATCGCAAAGTGGCTGCCCGATGTCCTCGATAGCCTCACGAATTCTATCTTTGAGGTCTTGAATCGACGCTGGGCTGTTGGCGTAGACCTTATCTTTCACGTGGCTTCAAAGGAAGAAGTCGCAAGGTGTTAAATCACAAGATCTCGGTGGCCAATTGTGATCACCTCTTCGAGAGATAACACGGTCAGGAAACTTTTCCCGTAAAAGAGCAAAGGTTTCGTTGCTTGTGTGGCACGGAGCGCCGTCTTGTTGAAATTAAACGTTGTCCAGATCAATACCATCCAACTCCGGCCATAAACTCTTGGGTTTTCCGAGCCCCAGATGCGACAATTTTGCTTGTTAGCCTCCTAGGTGGAAATGAGCCTCATCAGTCAAGATGATTTTTCGATGGAATTCCGGATCATTTTCATGCATTTCAAGTACCCAATCAGCAAAGACACGACGTTGTTGATGATCGGCCGGCTTGAGTTCTTGTGTTAACTGAACTTTATACGCCTTAAGACCCAAGTCTTTATGCAAAATACGGTGTAATGACGTTTGTGGAATGCCCAATTCCAAAGAACGACGAGGAATGGACAAACCTGCGTTTTATTCAACACTTTGGGCTACAGCAGCAATATTCTCAGTTGTTCTTGAGCGAAGTGCACGGGTTTTATTCTTCACATCACTAACTTGTCCCAACAGCTCGAATTTTTCCACCAATTTCTGTATTGCGGTCCGACAAGGTGCTTCACGACGACCAAAAAATGCTTTAGTTTTGCGAACTGTGACTGCAAGATTTGCACCATTTTTGTAGTGAATTTTAATAATTTCAATGCGATGTTGAAGTGTGTATCGTTCCATTTTTAGTAATGGCGTAGTTTCTACTTGTCAAATGTCAAAAAATAAAAGCTTCAATAGTGACAGCTACTGAAATACCGGGTGATTCAAAATAACACCTCTTGTTGGAAAACCCTGTAGTTGTAGTAAGTTTTCGATTAAACATTGACTTTTTCATTTACACACTCAGAGTTTATTAAAGTAGACCAGTTAATGTTACCGGCATCCTCTTTAAGCTTAGCAAGATCCATGCCGCTAAAATTGCGTTGCATAAGAATTCTCGGCTTTGCCTTAGGTGGGCGGACAGCATAAGACAGAAATATCAAATCATGATAAGAGAATGCTCAGCTGGATACTGACCATGGCTGATGACATGATCAGTGGAAGAGACAAGAATAAGGTCAAAAAGAGAGGGAGTGCAGTTAGGAAAATGATGTGTGGCATCAAGTGTTAAGAGTGATAAATTATTACAGTCCACTACCCTGCGCAGCGAAGAAGAGCGACAGTTATTTTTAGTAAACAAGTATTGAAGTCGCCCATTACTATTGTATGACTATAAGAAGGAGAAAAATTTCTAGTAAATTTTCAAATGAGGAAAAGAAGTGACAAGAGACGATTTCAAATAATTTAAAAAAATGTATCATCAACAGCCTTTAATAGTCCACTGCTGGACGTCCTTAGAAAGGAGGTTTTGGCCTACCACCTATAGAAAAATGTATGTAATAAAGATATTGAGTTTGAGTTTGATTCCAAATTGTAATAAAGAAAATCCGTAGAAATGCGTGGGTGCTAGATCTCAAATGTTGTAAGAATATTTTATTAATAGATATTGATAAAAGTAAAGGTATTATGTTATAAAATATCTTAAAGAGCACCCCACGCTTTTTAACGATAAAATGGTTTTTATTGTTGAACTCATAGAAAATTATTTTTTACTTTTAGTTCGGCTAGTTAAAGGGTGTTTTTTAGTTTTTTAAACTATATTTTAGTTTTGCTTTTTTTGTGATTAATGATGATTATTTTCTCATTAAGAATAAAAAAGCAACAAGTAATTAAGTCACATATGCTTTAGCACATGCCTCTTAATACGTAGCAAAAGACACCACCGTATTTTTAGGTATGGAAAAATCCGTTAATCTTGAAGATCCTGATTAGGATAATCGGCCAAATTTATTAAATTATTGTATTGTTATCGGTTCTTGATAAGCGTGCGACGTTTTAAAGTAGGTGAAAATCACGTTCAAAGATTCCGTTACATAGAAACATACATACCAAGCTAATAAAAGCGTTTTAAAATCAAGGATAAATTAAGTTCCTTTATACTCTTCCCCGACTTGCTTTCATAACGTCTACAAATTTTCTAACTCGATATTAATTTCCAGTGAAGCATCGATTCGTGGAGCCTTATGCACAATTACACAACTCTTCTTGTCCATTGGTATATCAGTAATGTATACATTAGGAGCAGTCGTAAATTGGCGAGAGGCAGCCCTCATTTGTCTATCTATCCCCGTTATAAGCATGGTGCTAGCGTCACTTGTGGTAAGTGTTTTGCTTATTTTAAACTAAACAATACTTGTACTTAATTATAACTTTTCTTAGAGGACTGGGACTTACCTGGCAAAAACCAGTCCACTTCGAGCTGCTGATATGCGATTGTGAGCAGCTCAGCTATTGTGTGCACTCCTCTAGATACTACTACTACTATACTACTGTATAGTATAAGCAACATCCCATTACTTCCTTTTCCTTTTGATATACTCTAAGCTTAGTTCGCAAAGAGTTTATTGATGGCTATATAGAATTACCCGTCTTAGATTAAATTTTGCCAACCACATCTTGGGCGCACCAAGTTTGTACCAAATATGTTTTTGTGCAAATTAAGATTATTTTATCACTAAAGCTAACGATGTTATGATATTTATATTTAGGGTCGATTTTAGTAGGTACAATTACCCTATAACGATTTCTGAATGAAACACGAAATTAAATCCTAATAATGTATGTTACAGCTACCAGATACTCCTGTTTGGTTGCTCTCACAAGGCAGAAACAAAGATGCCCTTAAAGCACTCTGCTACCTTCGGGGTTGGACTACTCCAGAAAATGTATCTAAAGAATTTAATGAACTCGTTCAATACGCAAAGACAATAGATTGCTGTGTTATTTGTCATGTTGAAAATAAAGATAGTAAACCAGGGGAAATCGAATGTAAACACAATAAGATAAACTTTATAAAAAGGTAAAATATTAGTAAATAACTTTTTAAGTACTTTAAACTAAATTTGCTGAATTTGTATTTTTATATTCCAAGATGTATAAGAACTTAGTCAAGGTATAAATTATATACATCTAAATAAAATAATATAACTCACAATGTCTTACCAACGGTCTTCGTAAAGATCTTAAAATTATGGTTTCCATTATGCATTTTGATATTTAATTATTGACTTATTACTTTTCAGATCCCTCATGAAATTTAACATCGTCATGCTTTGTAAGGAGACTTTGATTCCGTTATCTTTCACGCTGTTGTATTTTACATTCTTTGTCATGAGTGGTCTATATCCCATTAAACCTTATATGGTAAATGTGTGCGGTGCAATGGGTATGGCAACTGAAGGAAAAACTATTGTCGTAAGTGTGAAGTTCAAACATAAATTGAAAGTTCGTACATACAAAACAGCTAAAGTGCATGATTATTATTCTCCATTGTTACTAGTTAATTTACTTAGCAAACATCTGGATCAATATTCTGCAGCAAGATATTGAAGAAGAGGGTATTATAAATAAATTTATAAACAAGATTAATGCTAATTGTTACAGGTAATGGTTGGAGTTTTAACTCTAGTCGGGAGCGTCGTAATCATTGGGTGTATTAAGCTTCTCGGAAAGCGCAAGATTGGTATTTTTGCTATGCTAGGATCAGCAGTGTGTTGTACTGGTCTAAGCGTCTACGCTTATTTATACCTGGGTGAAAACGTCTTCTCCTATGATCCTAAGACTTATCCAGAAGAGAAAAGTATAGTTCCCTTAATCTTCTTTTATGGACTTGCCATCTTCACCGTCATGAATGTTGTTTGGATATTGCTTGGTGAAATATTTCCCTTTAGGTAAGTCGGTTTCATTTCTTATTTTACGAAGTCGTAGTTGTAAGAAAGTAATTTATAAGTAAGTAATCTTTTATTCCTAAAGATAACATTAACGTTATAGATTTGAAAATCAAATAAGTTAAAACCTACTTCAACTTAGGTATTGGACGCTGCTGTCATAAATTTCAGAGTTTATATGAAATTTTAGTTTGAAAAAAAAACTTGGCAAAAGTTTAGTTACTTTGTGAGTTTTCGCATCATTATTTATTATTATTAATGGTTTGCTTTTACAATGAATCACGGACACGAATGTTATGTGACTGGCGCTATTTTACAACGAATACCACTTTAAACTTTTTACATTCAGAATCATTATAAACATAAAATTGAATTTTTAATTAAATACGAAAAAAAACAATGGTGCGCTATTAAACTATTAGCATAGCAAGATGTTATAAACATAAATGGTGTAATAAACATGAAATATAATAAAATTATAGTTGTTCTTTGTCATCACATGATTATGGCGCCAAGGCTCCGAATTAAAGACTGGCTGGCTGGCTCCTTATTTAGGTTTATTTTGTTAACATTTGAAGAACACTATTGCAGTAATAATGAAATTGTATTTCCAGGAGTCGTGCAACGTCACAGGGTATCGGAGCTGCGTGGAACTACATAGTGACGTTCCTTGGCGCCAAAACACTGATCAACTTGGAAACTAATTTCAAATTATCAGGAGCTTTTGCCACGTACGCTGCGTTTTCTTACATTGGCACGATTTATTTATACTTGTTCATGCCAGAAACAGAAGGGAGAACCTTACAAGAAGTAGAAACATATTACCAAGGGAAATTTAGAATTTTTGCTGACGATTGGTTTATTAACTTATTCAAAAAGAAAAACAAGTAGAAAATAAACTATATTATACGCTATATTATAAGTACACGTTAGACTAGAACCAATTGTTATAAAACTAAAATCTATTTTTTGTGTTTTATTTCTTAGTCTAGCTACCGGTCTCTTAGTTATCAGTGATTTTATAACTTATAGACTTATAAATATCACAAATATATTTTCGTACTTTTATCTATTGTGTAGGATCTTCAATCTTCGCGATAAAAAGTGGTAGAGATGACTTAGTATCCCATAAAACTACAATGAAAGGTGTATCAGCCTTAAAATATGTCGATGGCTCGTCATAAGATAATGCTACTGCTGCAAAAGCAGTAGCAGCAGCTGCTGATCCACCCTTTTCATCTATTGACAACACTGCCGAATGCACAGCTGACGATATATGTGGTGTGTATCCCTGATATGTTCCTAATGTATTGAGTTCAGCGTAAGAACTAAACATTGTAGCGATGCCCATCTGAAAAAGAAAGTGTTTTCCTTGTAAAAACAACTGACTGTTCTTCAATTACAAAGTAGTAACTGGAGACTGGTCGTCTTTATTTAGTTGAAGACTTAAAATTAACTATTTAATTGAAAAAAAATTGGAACATACTGAGTTGTGTTGTTTGAATTTTTAGACTTTTTACTTGTCTGATAAGAGTTTTTACTTACAAAGCTGTTACTAATACAATGAACAACAATAGTTTATTTTTATATGCGTTTGACATTGTGACGACACCCGAATATTTATATTACATAATATGACACGTGTTTAGTAAATATGCTGAATACTATCATTCAGATCGAAATTTATATACGTACATTTCTTAGAACAATTTCTAGATTTGTGTCGCCTCTGACTACAAATTTTGGTAGTTCCAAATCTGTTTCCTCTTCTGGGAAACTAAGATAACTCAATAACCGTGCATCTGTGAGGTTAGCCAGAAAACTCGTAATACCGTCAGACGCTGATGGTAATATTACCATAAGAGAGTACTGGTTACCCTGAAATTTAAAAAAACCTTCAAATAACACTGTGTTACAATGTGCAACTATACCCACACGTTGTCAACTAAGAAAACATAAATCAAACGAATTTCATCACATAATGTAAGTACATATATATATTATACATAAATGTATATATACATATATATTTTATAAATTATTTTTTGCGAAAACAATATCTATAAATTATAGTAAATAGCCCTAAATGGGGATTTACTCGAGCGACCTACCTATTACATGTGAAAGATTAGGTAATAGAATTGTAAAATTATGCAATGTTTCCACTTTCAGCGGTGGGAAAAGCTCCTACAAGTTTTCAAAAATGTAAGGGGAGAAAATCGAAAAAAGAATATTCAGGCTTATCGGATATTTTAGGGATATGTTATTTGGACCCCTAAAATGCTCCTATTTAAAGGTCTGTCGGTTTTAAAGTGACACAAGCTCGTAGCGAATTATCACAATTGCAAACTGCATATTCGAAAACTCGCCGTTTCGAAATACCAGAACGTATTAGATTTTATACAGATGGTTCAGCTGGACGTTGCTCTCATACTAGGCAAAAAATCTGATCATAATTTTACAGGGTATTATAAAATTCACGTTCAGTTTTTTTAAAATTAAATGTGACAAATAAAGGCACGAAAAATTATGTAAATATTTAAAGAGATTTCATTAAATATTCTGCAGTGAACGATGTTTTGTGCATCTGGGAGTTTAATTTTTAAAAAGGGTAGGATTTTTTTTTAACAGTTTATTTTTTTGTATGTTGTGGACACAGCTAAAATACTCGATGGATAAGAAAAGAAAGTTAAGTAATGGATAAGGTATCAAGAGATTTGTTATAAAGTCAATGCAATGGATGAAAAATGCAAAAAAATTAGAGACGCCTCTGTTTTTTTTTCCACACATCCAGACATAAATACAATTTAAAAATAAAAATTCACCAAGCGACAAAAAATAATTATACTAGTTATTCCGTTTTTAAAACAGACACTATGTATAATATGTTTCAAGACAATCCATTAAGTTATTTAGTCAAGATATCGTAACAACAAAACCAACAGATATTTGCACTTATTACATTAGTTACGATTAATGTGGAATTGACAGAAGAATATCAGACAAAATTAAAGTCACCATTTAACGAGACGATTATATGGAATTTATGTTATTTACCTTCATCGGCATCGTTTTAGCACTTTTTGTGTTGTTTAAATAAAGTAATTTATATACTATGGTCAAGTTACTGTCTCTTAACATTACAACCCTTATTTTCCTTTGAGACTTAATACTAATTGTTACTTACCTCGAAAGGAAGAATAACAACTTTAGCTTTAGCAGTCTGGTCCACGCCAGTCTTCAAGGAATGTCTCATTCGCATAAAGTCGGTAACTTTCGTTGCGCCATTACTTAGGTGGAATTCCGATAGTCGAGTTGCTTCAACTCTAAATGGAACTTCCCAAAGCCCTTTGAAGTAAATTGCATTAACAAGAACCATTTGTGTGGATGAGTCGAGAGCATCTGTGGAAAAAATACAAATACGATAACACGGTTTGTGGAAAAAAATGTACTAACTTTTAGTATTGCTATTGGATCTAGTATATAAATAAAATTATTAATTATTAAATAGTTGCGAAGCAATATAAAAATGTGAGTGAAAAGTCAAATCTTGTCTTATACAGATATATTTTATAATAAATTAGGAATGAATTGTGCAAAAATAACCTATGTACGAGTATATGTCGCAAATCAGAATATCGTGTATCCGACATGTTTCCGTTGGTAGACAAGTTTTTTTGCGGCAGAATGTTTGTCAGACACAAAAGTTTTCGAACTTGTTAGCAAAATAATGCATGTCATTTGTTAAAATGGAATACATATTTGTTAAAAAAGAAGTAATCACGAACTCGACACATTTTACGCGTGCTACCGCCAAAAAGCAGCACTTTCGACAATGGTCGTAATGAGAAAATTTGGTAGACTCTTTAAAATGAAGCTACTTAAAAAAAAAACTGATATGTATTAATCATTAATTAAATTGGGTAACTGGGGACTATATATATATGTACTTATATATAATAAACATAAATACTTTGCGTTAATGATAATGTTCTGTAGTATAGTGGCTACTCCACATGTGTAAAAAGAAAATCAGATATTGATATAGAAGACACTAAGCTCATCTTTGTGCACGTGGGTTTACATCAACTAAGGATGTCCATTAAAAAGAAACATTTTCACCAACAACAAGATTCGATTCCATTAGAATAATATTATCTCTTGCAGATCAAGAGAATTAAAAACTGCAACAATTTGATATCAAAACAACATTTTTGTACGGGGAGTTGTCAGAGGGCGTCCATGCTGAGCCAAGTTAATAAAATCCCTATATGGGCTAAAACAGTCATCACGCTGTTGGAATAGAAAATTCTCTTCTTGCCTAACTACTTATGGTTTGGAAATGTGTCCCTCTGGCAACTGTATTTTTGTTGGTCATTTTAATAATTATAAAGTTACCTTGATCTTGTATGTAGACGATGCTTTATTAGGGTCAAAAAGTAAAAGTATATTGTTGCATATTGAAAATAAGTTTTAAGATAAACAAGTCGAATTTAACTTTTTTGCCATGAAACTAACTAAATATGGTGGAATAATTACTTTAAGTCAAAAACAGTACATAAAACAAAATAAATAGATTTAACATGTCTGTTGCCAATCCCTGTAGTATCGATGAAATGAAAATGATAATGAGAGTAATATTGATTCTCCACATAGGGAAGCAGTGGCAGCCCTGATGTTTTTGTCAACCGTATCTAGGCCTGACATTTCTTATTCTTTGAATGTAGTTAGTATATATGTAAATAATCCCAGTAAAGACCAAGTAAATGCTGTTCAACGAATTATTCGGTACTTGTTAAAGACAAAAGTATTTGTATTACTTATAATTGTAACAAAGAAGGTTTTTCTGAGTGTGATTTTGCCTCCGATATTGATTCTAGAAAATCTAATACAGGATAAATCTTTTTGATGAATGGTGGGCCTGTTACATGGGGTAGCAGAAAGCAAAATACTGTGGCATTATCAACTACAGAATCAGAATATATGGGTGCAAGTGAGGCTACCAAAAAAATTGATGACCCACAACCGGTGGTAACTCTATGTACGTCAGAGTGCTATTAAACTCGTTCATAATCCTATTTACCACAAAAGGAAAAGCACAAATAAATATGATATTATTTCATTAGAGAAAAGGTCCGTGTGGTGACGGATTAAGAATACAGAGTGTCACCACCCCTATTCATCTCGTGGGTGTCGTAAGAGGCGACTAAGGGAGCGAAATACGCAGGACACCAGCACTGCAGAGAGAAGGAAAACTTGACACAAACCCTATACCAACCCGTCTGGCCAGCGTGGCATAGTAGGCCAAAACCTCCTTTCTAAGGAGAGGCCTATGTCCAGCAGTGGACTGTTAAAGGCTGTTGATGATGATGATGATGAGAAAAGGTAGAACAAAGTGTCATAAATATTCAACATGTGAATAGTTTCAGCCAACTTGCAGACTTTTTAACAAAAGCTTTACCTTCTGGTAAATTTACTAATAACAAAGATCAAGTACTGAAAATAAACTGAGGATGTTAGTATATTATTAAATACTTATTAGGTCATCATTTAGTTAGGTTTAATTTTGTTGGAGGACAGTAGGTTGGTTTGAAGCTTAATGAAGCTTAATTTAAGTTTAATATTGTAATAATTCTAAAATTTAGGTCTAATTTTAAAATTTATCACTCAACACTCCCATGTTGAGTGATAAATTTTATAATGCATACTGTATACAACGTAGGTCGTGTTATCTTTGCTTGCTAACTAAAGAATTATTTTTTTTACTCCTTGTCGCTTGGTGCGCTGTTGTGTCTATGCCTCTTGGAAAATTGTCACGTCATAGAGACCTACAATAATAAAAGCTATTTCAACGTCGCTAAGACATCGTCACTTTGAAGAATCTGTTTTTATGTATTATGGCCATGTAAGAATATTTGCTATACCTCTAATACATGCCTAATTTCTATGCCCGAGAAAGTCTTTATTGACACACAAACGATAATAGTACAATGGCATACATTTTCTAAGGAAAGGCCTATGTCCAGCAGTGGACTGGTATAGGCTGTTGATGTGTGATGATGTGATGATACTTAATGCCTCTGGCGTTTTGGGTGGTGTGTAATGTGTGACTAGGTGCAATAGAAATTAATGTTATGTTTTTAAAAGAAAGAGAAAATAATTGAGAAGTTAGACGGACACAATGGGACAAATATATACATATATACATACATGTGCACTAAGTACATAGACATGCAAACACATATACTTACACATAAATAAAATAAAACTTTAATGTTGTGATGAATCTGCTAGGGTGTTCAAAATGTAAGCTCGAACTTTCGTCATGAATAAAAGACGCCTGGGTGCTATCTTTACTACCCAATTAACTTATTCAGAAAGCACGAACTCTTCATTTCAAACTTCGTGTTCGAACTCTCTACGAGGTTGCCGCTTCTTAGTGGGTCGCTTAGTAGCTTCTAGTTCCGTTTTATTTTTCATATTTACAACATACCAAAACAGTCATCCAGTTCCTAATAATTCAAGTTCGTCTTGTAGCATACTAACCACATGTGTGTGTGTTATTAATGGGTTTGAGTGACTAGAAATAAATTTACCTGAAGTGATGATTTTTTCAATCTTTTGCAAGGTCTTGGAAGCCACCCATTTGTTGATATCACGTGCTGCTAGGTCAGGTCTTCCAAAAGATACACGGGTGATGTCACTGTCGAAATTTTCTTGTGCTATTCTTTGAAAATCACTGTTTATAATGAAGTACTCTCCAACGAAAACGTTGCTTGCAGTTTTCATTATACTGTGGGAATTACGATTCTGGAAAATGTTACAATATATTAATATTAAATTCAGTTTTTTTTGTATTCATTAGTCACCAAGACTGACGGTAAAGAGACGACAAATTCTCGATATTCTACATTATCATACATTAGATTTTCTTAAAATGAACAGCATGCTTGCATGTACTCGTATAAATAAAATCTATGACATATTTCAGTGTCAGAAAATGGATATTAACATTTCGGACAGGTTGCTGCTGGGAGACGTGACCGATGCGCGTTTAGAACAAGTGTTAGCTCTTGCCCAATATAAGAGAGAAGTATCTTAGGCACCTGAATATGTTGAAGCAAAATTAACTCAACTAGAGATTACCGGATGAAATATATCTTAAGAATAATTATTTGTATCTGTTTGCTTACTAAATACCGACTTTTATTCAAAATCTCATTGTGCCACAAGTTAGAAGAGGTATTTGCATAAATGAGGAAAAACTGGATATGGATATGAGTTCTTGTTCCATTCTTACTTTGTAGTCAGTAGTAATCCTAGAATACGCAGCGGCTAAAGCTTCGGGTGTCATACCCAAAACTCGCGTTAGCTCTTCCTGAGTTGTTCCGGAAGTTCCTTGCTGTAGCAAACTGAGGAGAGAACTAACGGAATAAGGTGAAACTACTACGTTACCAGTCGCCATAGAATTGATAATCTGAAATAATGAAAATAACTGTAGGTATGTTGGTTCAATATTAAGTTGATATTAAGATTATCGTGACGAAAACTTATAAACCAAACTATATTCTATCGACCATATAGTAATAAGAAACAATCTGGTTTATTTGATTCTGTCGATTCAGCTATTGTTTAATCAGATGATCAAAACAATTTGAAAAGGAGGACTTTTAAATTAGACGGAGTATTTTTATGTATGCTATGCGATTCAACTTCGCTATTTGTTATAATTATAATGTCTATAATGTAATTCTTCTTAAATCGAATTGATTACAAATATATAAAGTTGGTCATATTTTCATTTGAGGAATAAAATATTAATCATTTAATGGTAAAAAATTAAAGGATGAGAATAGTCTTCTTGAAGGAATTAAGATGAGATTAGACCTCATAAAGATTGTATATGATGTATGAAGGATGTAAAAAGTATGTCAAAATTATCTTCTATCAAGGTTGTAAAAATCTTACCTTTAATAAATTTATTCCCACATTTGTTACAGAATATAAGAGACGGTTAAATTTGTCCGCATTAGTTACTTGTGGTTGTGATGCTTGTGGTCTGAATACTATCTGTCCCTGAGAACTTTGCTGCGTTGCTGATGATCCTTTTGATAATGCTTCGTTTGTTAATTTTTTGCCATTACCTTGCTGTACAGTCGTCGTAACAGATATTTCTTTACTTCTTTCTACTTCAACTGGATTTCTTTTGACTGGCGGGTTATCAAAAACTCGTTTTAATACATTTTTATCAATTTGATCACCTTGGGGCGACAACGAGCGAGTAGACAATTCGCTAGATATATCAGAAAATAAAATACCTGAGTTTTGATCTTGGGGATGATATGTATTTTGTAGGAGGTAGTTTTGTGGTTGCACATAATTAATCATGAACCACAATATAAAACCTGTAAAGAAATAAAAACCTTGTAATAAGCAAGTTACAAGTAAGTAAGTAGGTACTAATAAATTAACACTGTTAACTTAAAAGCTTAAATGATATTATTACAAACTTAATTGAAAATCAAAAATTATATAACCTGTTTTCTGGCAACGGACGAAAAAGTACAATCGATGAGAAATTCTTTATTCCTATTGCAAATTTGGCAAAATTAATGCGATGTTGAATAATTGTATAAAATTAAGACCGGTTTTTATAATACCGTGATCATAAAATATGATTGAATAGCAGAATATTGCACAAAAATACTAAATTATGTGTGGCGAATTTAAAACGGTGATGGCTATGGCTTCTATAGCTGTAATACTGCTATATAATAAGCCAGAATAGTATTAGCACGCTTGCAAATAACTTTACAATATCGCACTTAGTGCTGCCAGAGAGACTACAGAATAACTTAAGGGACAACCGTTAGATTAACCTTCAAATGTCTTTGTTTAGTGTAAACCTACCAGTTTAATTTCGGCTATTTAAGTACCGTGCCTGATGTTGATATAGAAAAATATATTAATAGACGGACACATCAAAAGTTTAAGGAATAGGTACTTTTATATGTTTCAGAACCCTAATTGATTGACAGATTTTCTTTTTCCATTTAGAGGCAAACATTAATGAGACGTATAAATCGAGAGATTAACGTTCAGACACACACAACTTCTTCCGTCATAATATTGTAAAGATGTTTTATGTACGATAAAATTATTTTTTGCTTCATACGTGTAATATTTTTTTTTATGGGAGAGCTAGCAAACGAACAGACGGGTCACTGTTTATTTATTATTAAGTTTTAGTCTTAATTGCCAATATTACGTTTATGACGAGCCTTCTTCTCAAAAATGGTTAGAGTCGGTTTTCAATCTACTACGACACGGCTGAACTTCGATTTTTTACGTCTGCCATCACACTTCCATAACCAAAGTATTAGGCACTATTAAAGTGCTGTAGTTAGACTGTTCTCAAACTTTTTAGGGATCCGATTACCACAGATATTCATATTTATTAGTTAATTAATTATATGAAAACTGCGACCGACGGCTTATCGTATTCTCCGCGGCACGGAGGGATATCAATGATAAGTGTTAAGAATGGTCGTGGTGCTAACTTACTCAGTTACCACTTAGATACGAGCTTTTTAAGTAATTCAGTTATTTTAAGTAACTATGATAACTTAACTTATTCTATGTTATTGATAAGAACACTGGTGTAAATCTGCAGCTGCATAGTCCATCTGTATTATATTTCTACCATTTTCCTCATTTCTCGATTAAGCAATGCGGACGAATGCAGTCCTGGAAATTCCCCTAATAAGAGATATTTTTTTAACAATTTTTAGGCTAGTTTATGTGTCTTAGTTCAAGTCCGAGTCTTACTAATTACCTACGGCTCATCGAGTTGTTGACTCTCACTTCCGTTTCCTATTCGAAACTTGTAGTTAGGGTACGGAATAGCTGCCGTACGATAACTACCTCGTCCTACCCCTTTTCCTTACCTTATTTCTCTTATTACCTTGTCCCCTTTGAGAATAAATTCCCAAGGAAGTATAGCATCAAATAAGCGGTCGACTGGTCTAATTGCGTCTGAGTCAGCTCCCGAATAAAGCGGTGGAAAGAGGAATAATTTTTTGATAATATTCATGTTTATTAGGAGTTTCATATTTTTGTTCCTAGGGAACATACTATGTAATGCAAAAATTGTTGTTAAGCGTCTGGGTGTTCTTCGTGTCGGTTTAATGAATATTTATTTGTAAAATCCCCCGCGATACACGATATATTCCTACTACAGCACGTGTCTTTTCAAAAGAAAAAACATCGGTACTGTTACATATTTTTGTTATTTTTGTAAAAAAACTACTGTAGGTGGATGATATTACCCTCTTTGCCTCAGACACCACTTCTTCTGATCATAACAAATAATATACGGCAATTTAAATAAAAGGACAAAATGCTAAATAAAACATTAGAATCTTAACACACAATTGTGTTAATTCGTCAGGCAACAAAGAAACTTTGAATCAAGATAACAGCTATTTAAGCAACTAAAAATCATTATTAAAACAACAGGTGAACTAAGATATCTATTATTTACGTATTATCATTATAATTTACATAATGAAATGACCCCAAGATATCTTCGATTAAAAGTAATAGTTGTTTACAAAATGTATTACAAATGATAATTTGTAATGTATTTTGCATTCACTTTAAAATGCCATGTTTTATAGTCTTTGAATGGCTCGAAATTTGATATAAACCGATTTTTCCAATTTATAGAATAACAGATACCTACCGTGGTAGTATTAAAAAAACTACTTAGACTATAACATCCTGACTACCAACCTTAATTATAGATTGTGTATAAATTAGAATATTTACAGTAAAAAGGAAACTAATCGCAAAATTAATCAGGTACTTACACTTCAGTAACATCTTTGTTGATTTACACATTACGTTGAAATGTAATAACACTGCTTTAAATTGTGATCAACGAGATAAGACACACATTGATGTTATTAAATAAACCACTATTACTATCAAAATACGCCAGAGAAGAGTTCATGTACTTGCACCAAGCGCTGACAACGGACGAATGACGATAAACAAGAACTGAGTAAATCATTATGATGTTTCATTCAGGGAATTTTAAATCATATGTTCTTAAAATAAGGCCTAGTTTACCATTTCGTTATAGATTTACTAGAGATGGCTTAATACCTACACGTAGCATCGGTTTTCCCACAACAACCGGTTCACAGTCATTATCCTTGACAATCTTTAGCAAAAATTTTAAAAATATACACAATCGTTTTATGTTTCAAATGGAAACTACAAAATGGAAACAATTTATTGTAATCGTACTGAACAGAGAAAATTATTGAAACGAAGTTAGAAGTACGTGTATATGAATGTTGATATACAAACATGGATTAGTTTACTATATTATAGATGGTAGGTATAAACAGTGTAGCTATGTTAAAACTTCAGAATGATTGCCAACTAAATACAGGAAAGTAAGAAATTTAGTAACAAAAAAACAATACCAAACAGCGATGCTGCGTATAAGGTTTACAACAATATTTTTTAGAGAAAGTGGAAGTCATACCTTACCATTAAGCGTCGATGATAATAAAATAAAACTACCAATTATCTTGTACTATTTCTGAACTGCATCGTATTACGCAGATAAATGAATCACATTCTTATCCTAATATTATGATCTTTCATTTTTTTCTTTTTAATAATGTCATATCATCTTTATTGTTGTTTATTTGGAATATTAATTTGTGACATTATTAAAGTGGTTGTCTGTTATGTGCGTGGTATGATGTAAGTCTAAAGGTTTTGTTGAAAGAAATACTGTTTAATAAAAAAATACTATTAACTGTACTAATACAAATTTATTGAGGTCGCAGAACGACCTCCGTCCTCCATAAGCGCAGGCCTGGGGGTGACAGGTGAGGCCATTTGTCACCCTAGCAGAAGCAGGCCGGGGTGGCGGCGAGCGCGTTGCAAAGCGCGCTCCCTTCCAGGAAGCAGAGGGAACATGGGGTTCCCACACGGGGGGAGTCGTCTACCTGTTGTTGTAGATGGCCCGAGGTATGTCGGGGCACCAGGGACTTCCTTTCTAGGGTATACCTGGTTCCCCGGCTATTAGTACCCGAGACGGCGTACGGTTTTAGTCGGTTCGAGTCCGACATGCCACCAATAGGTGGTATCCGAGTGGATTTCCCGAAAAAAAAAAGGACAACTTCCCCTATAAATAATAAACCATGAAACGAAAGAGTTTAAAGTTTGTAGATATATTTACTATTCACATCACATCAATAGCTTTCAATAGTCCACTGCATACAGGGCTCTTCTTAGAAAGGAGGTTTTCGCCTACCATAGCGCGCTGGCCAGACGGGTTGGTATAAGGTTTGTGTTAAGTTTTCCATCTCTTTGCAGTGCTGTTGTCCAGCGTAGTTTGCTCCCTTAGTTGGCTCTTACTACATCCACGGGTTGTATTACACACGGTACAAACCGTATTCCTAATCCGTCACAACACGGAAAATATTGACTATTATTAACATCCATTCTTTCTTTGAATATAAAGCAGCATATTTCTAGTATTATTAATAATAACGATGTCGGAAAAACAATCAATGTATGTTAATTAAGACTAGATTAAGCGAGTCTAGTAACAAAATAAAACACACTTTACATACACTCAAACAAGTTAATCAAAAAGAATAAGAATACAAAATAACGTGAAAGAAGAACGTGCAATTTCAATATGTACGACAAGATTATATGCAGGGCGTACATAAACTAGGTAATAAATCGGTAATTCGAAATACAAAATTGGAAAATCTATCAGAATGCACTTGTATGGCTAATAAATTGTAAAAACCAATATTCAACCAAACCGGATAAACAACTGTATTTAATTTTATCCACGTAGTATTTAGAAACCTGTTTAAAATCTACCAAGAAACCACATTAATTATATTGAAAATGTTTTTTTTTTAAATAAAGCAAAATATGTAGACGTTGTGGATTCAATGTTTTTGACTTTTGTTCGACTTCTAGAATTTAGATGTGTTCAGATTGTAATAGACAAAAAACTATGTATGTTTCAGACAAAAACCAGATTCTTAACAAATTAATTGATGAAATCGGGTTTTACTCCTTGTCAGTAAATTATCTCCGGGCCCCGCTGGTTTCAAGGATCCTTGACATACGAAACTGATATTGTTAATTCTGTTCTTCTGCTACCTATGCTCATCTCAACTCAACTACCTACGCTAATAAGAGATATTCTTTTCCAGAGGGAAACCAATCTAATTCCAACCAATCTAAAAAGCTGCTACAATTATTTCCAAAAATATATATTAAGATTACTTAAACTTGATATAATATCGAAAACTGACATGATATCACTATTCGCTATCGAGAGAATACTCATGTTCTCTCCCTTTTAAAAATTAATGTTTATCTCTCTTAAAGAAAGGTGCGTGATTTTTCTTTTTGTTTATTTGCGATTTATGACATACTCTGTTACATTTATTTAAATGGCGTTCACCGTGATTGCAATGCCTTTGTTGGAAGCCAAATTAAATAAGCTGTGCTTTTTTTATAAGTACTGTACAATTTTTAATAAGTTTAGAATGGATTGTAGCTTAGATAGTACGTTCGTTTCAAATATGCATGACTTGCATATTTGGTGTGCACCTGTTGTGCGAAAAGATCTTACTAGGTGCCTTGTGGTAACTTATCTAATACAAAGTTTGAAGAGAAATAATGCTAATGAGTACCAATTTAACTTCTGCATTTTAATCTATTTCGATATGTGTCTAGAATATTATATGAAATGTCAAGTATATTATTATAAGATACTTGACATTTCATAGTCGTTAGTTGTTTATTAACAATTTGGGGCAAGGGGAATCACCAATTGCAGGGAACCGGGAGATTAATAATGTGTCATTAACTGCGAAAATATGATTGTTTATTTCGAAGCACGGTATAATATATTGCCTTATCGTTTTTATATATAAATAAGACATTATTCATTCGTTTTAGACAATAGAATATAAACCAATAAACGCCATCAAAACTAAGTACCTAATGTTTATTAATAGCAATTTGCGCTTAGGCAAACACTTCGCAAATTATACAAGGAAACTGAAAATATTTATCTTTTATCGGTAAAATGCTATTCTGTACACGTATTTAATTCTTTTTTTTTAGGGACCATGATCAGCATTACAATTCATTCTATTAGTTTCATTTCTATTAGTATACCAGACACCTTTATTCTAAATGCAATGTGCTAACAGCTTTTCGTAATTACTTACTTACGTATCATACTTCGGAAATATCGAACCATTCCTCCACCAGACTGTTGATGTGTAAGACTAGACCTTCAACTTTCTTCGCTAAACAGCTTTAAGTATTTAGTTCTCATGTGTACAAGAAAATAACTGACTGCAGTTTGCCTTAATAACTAAAAGACAATACGCTTTCAAATGTATCTATAGGTATGTACATATGTATGTTTGTTTGCTGTGGGTATATATGTTATGTCAAGTTGTGTACGAGTATAAATTTCTTAATTCGTCTGCTAGATGTGTACATGTTTTAAATAGTCAATCATTTACCTAAGATTTGCAAAGTTATATTGGGAACTGAATCCTCGCTTCAGCTGATTACTGTGCCCTGCGTCTTTTTACTTTTCCACTACATTGTTATTCATTAAATTATATTACACGATTTCTATTCCGCTTTTTTATTTAAATAAGTATACCTGTAATGGAAGAACTGCAACAGAAATTTATTAAGCCTTAGGTTATGTAATCTTCTCGTCATCAAACTGACTGTACATAAAAACGAAGGCAGGAGTAAACGTTATGCACATTGTTTGAATAAAAAAACAATTACCCTTAAAACATTTATTGTACTACAGTCCTCTTCTGATAAAATAAAGCCGACGTTGCGCTTCAAGCGCGTTCCAAAGTCACGTAATTCTGAAATGTACTATTTAATGTCACGTTAAAATAAGTAGTGTAAATATTTCATTACAAAATACATTTACTTTTTGATAAAATTAGTATGCAATGTCCAGTCTCCATTTTGTATAAATTAGTCTTTTGTCAAAGTTAGGTTCAACGTCTCCATCTCATTCAGCTTAATTAGCCATTAAGTCCATTAAGTCCCCGTCTGTCTCTAAAGTCCTATAATATTTGAGTCTGTTTTTGTACAAAATTTTATTTCAGAATCATTTTAAGATGTCTGTTTTAAACCTACTTCAAATTACATATAAGTCATAAGATTTGCCGTATCAGTCAGAAGTCTTTTTTAACAATTGCCAAAGAGAGGAATTATTTTGTTTGTTTGTGCTTATTCTTAACGATTTGAGTTCGGCTTTTACAGAATACTTGACTATATTACTGATTGACTACAGTACATCAAAAACTTAAACTAAAACTGTTTGTTTTACTAAAAGTGATTTGTGAAGCGTAAAGAAACATGCTATTAATCTGTTGACAATATTAACATACCACTTAGTAAGATAGTACATAACAGTTTTTTTTTTTTCAAGAAAATAAGCCTACTCAACTTACTGAAATCCGCATCATATCATCAATTCTGTATTAATTTTGTGGCCTTAAATTCATATTATATTCATTTTAAGACAGAATAATTGCCTATACATTTTATTTAAAAAAAGGTATTTTTAAATTTTTGTTGTGTTCTATGATCCTATTTTTAATAACCACATTTTCATCCTATAATTGTATACCCTTAATAACGTCCACCAGTATTCCTAACATCTATTACGGAAAGCTCGTTAGCCACGGTGACGATTTTTTGCGCGATAAAACTGGGCGGAAAACTGTAGTGTTCCAGCGGAGTTTTGTATTCGTAAATTGGAGAAGACACCGTTCGAACTGCTCGGCGAAGAAATGAACACGTTGAAGACAAATTCGTAGCTTTCTTCTCTGCTGCCTTAAATCTGAAAGTAAGAAAAATTAAATCTTAGTAAAATTCTTTAAATTAAACCAGCATCATTTATTTCTTATGAGATAAAATGCAAACCTAATGGTAAAGACCCTGCCAACTTTTGTAAAATTGAAGCAATCTATTGTTTTACAATGAATTCATTACTTTGCCAATAATTATTAATTATTTTAAACCTATTATACTTTATAAATTGAATTGAATTAGTGGATTTCATGCCGCTGGACGCCACTTCGAATACATTCTATTATTGTTAAAAATATTTTGTTTGACTGGCGTAAATTTTCATTCTTTGTTTCCCTTTTGAATTAGAATGTATTGAGTATATGATATAAAATAATTTTCATGATTATTTCATTCAGATTTTAGAAAGTTAGTCACATATGGTTCAGCACACGCCTCTTAGTACGTAGCAAAAGACACTACCGTATTTTTTGGACATTGAAAAAGCCGTTAATCCTGAAGATCTTGATCCACTTACCTCTAACGCCTGCACTATTTTACAAGTCATAGAAATAAGACATTTAAAACATTCCAAATTCTACCGCTTGGCGATCTCTATAATGAACCCATACTTACACGTGACATTTTTGCAGGTAATACATCAATTCTTTCTTATTCAACAAATATAAAGCATTCTTAACAGCAGCGACGGCTATAACCGAGGGGAATTCATCGCAGAGAACCTTTTCTACCATCAAGCCACACATGTAAAGGAATGTGGCGGCTACTTCTATTTCACCGCCATGATTTTGATCACAATACCAGGAGAGGTAGCCTATGAAGTCTTGCACGACGACTGGTTGAGGAGTAAATCTCTGTAAGAAATATAATATCTGTACGAGGGACAATTAAAGTGGTTATTTGAATATGGTGTATCCATGGTCACAGCGCATGTGTATGTGTTATATGATTGCATTAAAGGGTATCGTATGGGATAATGGAACTGGGATTGTAACTTCTTAGTTAAGATAGAAATACAGTAATTTAAATTAAACTAGAAACTGCTGATTAAATGTTATCATATGATTTTCTAGTTCAATAATTATTTGTTTAACGTTTGCACCAAGAGTAGTAATGACAGTTTAAAAAATATCCCAATCGTCATCATCATCATTTTCCTGCACTTAAAAAATCACATATATAAGGTAAATGTATGGATAGAAATAACACAAGATAAGGTTAACATAAGTAAGTTCTTACCATTTTCTTAAGAACAGCTTTCTCAGCGCTTAGCAGCTTGTCAGCTGTGAACGCTTTGTTCGCACACTTCACCAGTTTGGCTGCAGGGGTTACTGGCCCGTGAAACTTCTGCGCTATCCAGTAACATGCAGCTGCAGTTAGTTGCAACTTGTCCAGTTGCACATGAACCGTGCCTAGAATTGAATCTAGGTACCAGCAAGCCGTTTGAATTGTGGAAGGGTTACCATCTGCGCCCTGTAAGGTAAAAAGTAAAACATTGATTACCCCATTGATTATTTTTTCTCTATTTGGGATATTCACAGCTAGCGTTTTATGAACATAAAACATAGGAGTAATACATGAAGATCTGGTAGTCATTTACAAATATCCGCTGTTAGAATACACGTGTGGTGTCAAATTAAATATACGTATTCATTACTGCAATAAGTTTATATCATATTTATCAGAACAGATTAATTAGATACACCCATAGCATTGATTGGATATACATTTTTGTTAATTAATAAAGGTGAACCATAAAAAATATATTTATTTCGTAATTGGATTTATATACACATATCGTATTATACGAATCAGTTTGTAGATTTGTCATAGCTCTCAACGTATTTTTTTTTTAATTTATTCGTTTATAATAGGTACCGAAATAAATCTCTAATCCTAATCCAATAAATAAAAATACTGGTAGTTCTTTAAACTCGTGTGATAAAATATCATTTAATTTACTATTTAGATAATTTCAAGAGCTATAAGTTGTGTATTACTTTACCTAATTCATAATATTGAATTATATAAATTTCAGTTTGGTGTTTAGTTAAACAAAACACAGTAACTTGTACCAGACCATCATTTTATCTAAATACACTGGTATACGTTACTTACAGAGTAGCATTCATAGATGTTTCATAACAGCATAACGGTAGTATAGACCTTTGACATTAAATTGATTATTGTGACACAAAAAATACTGTGATAAATTATGGTACTATATTACTACATAAAAATTTCCAGCCATAAACAATAATGCCACTGATTGACATGAATTGACGAATGTAAACACAGTGTGAAAAGATATCGCAATATACATATATTATAAGTAACTGTATCACCGAGGTAAGGTTTCGCATTGCTTACAAATGTACGATATTCTACATTTGTTTATTTAAACTAACTTGTCCTTAATTATTAAAATATTATAAGCAACCTTAAAATGTCAAAACAAGTTTATTTTAACTGCCAGAACAAATGTGTTTAATGTTACATTTATTATTATAAGGTTTGACTTTGATGCTAAGTGCTCCAAAGTTCCTTTGAATGAAATTAAAATGACAATGACGTCACGTGAATAATAAAAAAACGGAGTTTTTGTAGGTAGGCATAAATATGCAACTGAAATTTTACTTACATTGACTCTCATAAGCCAGTTGATGACACACGCTCTAGTTATACTTGAAGTCTTCGGTACATCTAGCGGTTTTGTCTCTACATTCAGCAAGTAATCAAAAATCTCTACTATATAGTCCCGATCCAAGCACCTCATATAAGATGTCTTCCCTAAAAAAAATAACTTATTTACTACCCACATCGCGTATTTTATCCATTTGAGACACGACCACTTATAAGGCTTACTAAGCTACATAAAACAAATTAACTGTGATATTGAATTTCATCAACTATTGAGTCACAGTTAACGCAGCGTTTCTAAATATTGGTAATATAGCATATACTAATATCCGGTTTTAAGAGTAGGTATATATATAATTAACATACTCATTTGATTACTCGTTAACCTACTATAAGTAAAGGTCTTAAAACATGGCCAGTATGCAATGGATTAAATTAAATATTTCTCTTCATTTATTTATATCTATTTAGTATTGATACTTTACATGATATAAGCACATCCACAAACAATTATAAGTTAACTACTAGCATTATCCTATGAAATTGTAAAGACAGCCAAGTGCTGAAAATTTCTGACAGCTGCTATACATATTTATTTTTATTGTGTTTAATTCTGAACAATCTCGTATAAATACAAAACTAAATGTAAAACATGTACGTGCTCTGTGTACCTCGTATGCCCTAAAACCTAAACCATTAAAAGAAATATTGATTGATCACTATTTTTTTATCAAAGACTGTACTAAAAGACATCAAAAAAGCTAGTAGTAATATTCTTCTACAATCATTACTCACAACGATCGGGGGACTGGAGTCCATCTTGCAGATCAGTGAATGGTAAACGACGTTTTGCTTTATCACCAAACTTCTCTTGTCTTGGCACAGGAGACAAACCTTGCAATTCACGACTGTGAGGTCTTTTCAGACTTCTTTTTATATTTCTCACACGATTTGGTGCCAAACAATCTTTCAGGTTAGGAGTAACAGAAGAGAATACGTCGCCCAAATCGTTTTTCTGATCAACAAAGAAATGCTGATTTTCTTGATCTAGGTAAATTTCGTCATCACTTATAGAAATAATACTTGAAGACTCATTCGAAGTTTCTTTGTCTTTAAAAACATTATAATTCCAATCCAAGTCTTCACTTCTATGTCTTAAAGTAACATGTTTTGTATCAATATTTCTAAACGATTTGGGTTTATGAAAACTCTCGCTTGGACCCGCCTTTGGAGATATTTGGTTCCCTAATGTCTTAAAAGGAATTCTTGAAGGCACATTACCTTGTTTTAGTAAGATTTTTTTCTCAACTAATAAACGTATCGGTAGCGCTGGTAATGCTCCCATTGGCAAAGGTATTTTAGTTTTGAACACATTTTCTTTATTCGCTTCCATAGTGAGTGCACAATTTTCTAAGTTAATATTTACTACACCTTCGATCACGACCCGCGTGATCCTTAGTGTAAATGGCAATTTTACTAATTTCATATCAAAACATTATATCGTTCTACCCTCATTTACTTTTAATTTTTAAGACACAGAAATAAAACCAATTTACCAATATAAAATAAATAATTTATTTTTAACCATATCACAACATTCATTCAAAAATAAATAATATCTTAGAACTAACTTAAACCTAAGGTCGTGTACTTTTTATTATCAAATGCGTCTGGTTCTTTCATAGAAAACTTATACAATCTCACAGAAAAGTATAAAGTACATGAAAACAGGAGGGGGCTTTCGAAAATGCCACCATTCTTCAATCACCAGAATTCGAAAACAGAAATACTCAAGAGCTTATAAGATCAACCTAAACAGGAATAGAATCACCGATAGCGAATGGTTTCTCAGGATCAATGACTTTACCGGCTACGACGATTAGATTATCAAGCGTATCGAGGATATAGAAAATGAAAGGATGTTCAACACTAAAGCGTTGAATTGATTTCTGCGGTGGTAATGGGATGTTCTTCGTTTGTTCCATCACGGTGTCGGAAGCTGGAATGTAAAAATATGACTTAATTTTGTTGTAACCATTTTAATGAAACCGATCAATATCATCAATCATCATCAACAGACATATGCCTCTCCTGAGAAAGGAGGTTTTGGCCTACTATTCCATACTGGCCAGACGAGTTGGTATAAGGTTTATTTCAATTTTTCTTTCTCTTTGCAGTGCTGTTGTCCTGCGTATTTTACTCCCTTAGTCGTCTCTCATAACACCCACGGGATAAAAAAGGGTGGTGACACTCCGTATTTTTAATCCGTTATCACACAGACAATAGATAAATATTAATAAATTAATACTGAACTTAGTAATATATTATAAAGGAGACAGTTGCCTGACACCTAAGTTTCATATAGATAGACACTAAAATAAAAATCATTCTTGGAAAGAGGCAAATTTACGTATATGTATGTTACTAAAATTTCATTTTTATTCTTACAAACTTAGCCAAAAACTCAAAAAGATAATGCACTGCCCGGGAATCGAACCCGGGTCGCAAGAATGGGAATCTTGCATGATACCACTACACCAGCAGTGCTCGGGAGTTGTGACTTAAATACGTACTGTATAGAAAATAAAAGTTGACGTCATACCTGACATCTCAGTAGCCGAGCTCTCTGTGTCATCAACGCGCACCGAGACATGTTGCACCAGCTCCTTGACAAATAATCCTAAATCTGATGATACGCCAGTCAAGTCTGCATCCCGATTGAAGATCGAACTAACACCAAACTGTAATGAAAAATAATATTTAGCTAATGTTTGTAATGATCTTAATATATAAGGGATAAAACAACAAAGAATTATCATCATCATCTAGCCGTCTATAAGCCTCTGCGTAGAAAGGAAGTTTTGGCCTTATAGTAGGCTAGTAGGCTAGGTCATCCTGGCCAGACGGGATGGTATAGTGTTTGTTTCAAGTTCTCCTTCTCTTTGCAGTGCTGTTGTCCTACGTATTTTGCTCCCTTAGTCGGCTGCTTACGACACCCACGCTGGGTGCGACACCCACGGGTGAATAGAGGTGCAAAAAACAAAGATTAATAAAAAGAAAATATTATTCAACAACCAGTCACCCGTCAAGAGTAAATGAAAATTTAAAATTTTAACACGATAAACAACCCGCTTCGAAGATTGTTTTTATCTATTTTTCGCATCGGTTTTGTTCCTCTTTTCTTATCATTGCAACCTTATTGTGCCACAGCAAGGCGTGGCAGGATACAGCTGGTTTTAATAAAATTATTATATTTGTGTTTATTTTTAACTTTATGCACTTTTGTGTATCGGCGGACTTAACGCCTAGGGCATTCTTTTCCAGTCACTTTTCAGGTGGTGTAGAAATCGTGAGTGGTAGGCGCACATAAGTTACAATACTAATCATTAAAATATAAACTACACAACACAACGCACGTAAATTTATATACAAACAAAAACACACTATATACATATATATAAATATATATAAACATACACTATACATATACTAATCTATTATCAGCAACAAACATTCCTTCAGCATTAAAGGATAGAAATGCCAGACATGGACATTTAGCGCTCTTCTGCTGCTTGTTACTGCACATTGCTATACAGTAGTGCAATGACTGACCAAGTCAATGTTCATGGTCATCGTGACGGTGTCGGATACCACAGCTGGGCATCCCCCAAATTGTATTATACATTATTGCTAGATGTGATACTATTTACATGTTTGTAGGGTTCCCTAGTAACTATAAGTAACCGTTACAGTCCATCCGACTGCCGTTTAGCTTCTAAGCTAACTCGTACAAACTGATTTCTATTACTAACAGTGTCTAGACTAATATAAAGGTGAATTAATTGCATCGACAAAGTAGTAAAATAAAATTTAAAATCGGCAGATTTTTTCTGTGTATATCTGTTTGCGAAACCTAATACCTTTTTTAAATGTACACTGTTGAATTGAAATATCATCATGACGTGTTGTGTATGTCATTTAGAAAAAATAACGAAGTTAAGTAGGCTAAGCTTTGTGATGTTTGCTAAGGAGAATGTTTTTGCTTTATGTGGACTTTGCCACGCGCTACTTCAAGAAACTTTTAATCTAAATTTATCAAAAAGCATTAAAATTATTCCTCACCTTAGCCAAAGCAGCGACCGGTTTTGTTGTGGTTTCAACGGAGAACATAGGCAGGCATACTTGTACTTCCTTCTCTTTCATACTTTCTTGAATGTCCGAGAGTGGTGCAATGGGAAGATCTGCAGTAAGGCGAGTGAGACCATCACGAGCGCGTGGGACTACCAAGAGAAGAGCATACCGTCCACCCTAAGCATAAAAAACATTTTTATATTAGTAAAATGGTTAAAAATCAATAATCACTTAGGCTTGCTATGTGCTCTCAGTTACATAGCACAAATACTGAAATTTAAAAATCTAATAGAGATTCCTAAACTGAGGAGTATTCATTGAAACAATAATCCAAAATCAAGACATTTCTAAAGGTTTAATAAGTTCTATGAAAAGTTTAAAAACCTTTCAATCGATAACTTTGTAAGTAATGCTTAAATAAGTTAGAATCATGTCTTGATCGGATGTGTCTATCAGTATATTAAAAACTTACATCGTAAGGGAGTTTGATAGCCTCAGCGTCCAGTTCTGGCAGAGAGGCAACTTGGAACCTGCCTTTGGTCTTCATCATTGTCACTTGTTTCTTCTCAGTGTTAGACTTATAGAATACACCACTATCGATGATATCAAATGGTTGTTTCCAAGAGCCACGGAAGTACATGCCGTTGAAGATGAGCATCAGCGAATCAGAAACTGAAGTTGTAAAACGTATACCTAATATTATTACCTATTAATACGGCATATTACCATGTTTCCCATTTGATCAAATTATGCAAAAACTTAGATTACATATATACAAAGTTACATAATTAAAAAATATCGGACAGAGAAAAATCCCCAGGTTTAATATATATCGAGATCATAATAAATATCGTATTAGGTAAAAAAATTATCAATAGGTAAAATTTCAAACAATAATACCTTGCAAGTTAGTAAAATTGTACAACACATAATTATTAAAATGTTACGTACTGGATTTCTTTCCAAAGCTGTTAACAGAAAGGCTAGACGAAACATCCCGTATCTCATGGACTCCTTTGAGGCTCCTGGCATGATTTCTAGCTTCAACGGCAACCATGGTTTCCTCATCATCATCGGATTCGGATTTTTTAGAGTATGTTTTCTCCAGCTTGATTTTTTCTTTAATATTCTTAGCAGGCTTATAATCCATCTTGGTAATGTCAACTTTTTCGGGAGTATCTTCGACAGCAAACGAAATTAATTTCTCATCAGACTCTTTAGGTGGCATCAGTTCAGGGATTTCCTCATTTTTACTGTTTTCAGTTTTTTCGGGGATTTCTATTATGAATTCACCCTTCTCATCCTCGTCTTCCTCATGAATCTCCAATTCTGGGTTGTATCTCTCAACAGACCTTACCTCAGTCAAATAATAATCTTCCAAAATCTTTTTATAATCATCATTAATGGTATAGTTTTTGTAGATGTAGAAGTAATTCTTTAATTCGGGCTGGTTGTATTTGTACTCATGAGTATTTCTCAATCTCTCCATGATGTACCGATAAGTATTTCTAGTAAAGTTATCATCCTGCGGAAGGTGCAGAGCTGATACTAATTGTTCTCTCGTCTCTCCGCGTGCTCCTTCAGCAAGGATAGCAAGAATTGCGGAATAACCTAGAGGTGAGAAGGCAATGTTCTTGTCATCGTCGATATAACCCTGCAAATTTTAAATAAAATATGAATACCAATATTGCTAGAATATTAAATTTAATGTATAAAAGCATTGTTTCCACTTTCTATAATAAAATTATTATTGCATTTAATGACCTCTTTTAGAGTATGGAACTTGAAAAAAAAACTACGGTGTAATTCAATTTAATTTTTTTTGTAGTCCCACAGTTATTGTTGGGTATACATATATATGCAATGAAATGTTTAGCAATAACAACAAAACCATAGGGACAAACTTCGATCAAATAATTTGTTTGATAGAAGCTACAAAGAGATCAACTTTAGTCTTCCTCAACATGAGAGATATGAAGTGATCATAAAGGGTATAAATTAAGATACAGAATAGTTGACCTTGATTTGTATGCTGCGATAAATATATATTTTTAACTTATGTATGTGACAGCGTAATAAGCTGCTCAACTGACACCAGAGGACCTTTTCACTTATACTTCCAACAAAAGAGGACTTTCGTAACAAAGGGCCAGGGCCAATCAGTGACAACATGCGGTTGAACATTTTTTTGTGATTTTAATCCTTTCTAGCATAATATTTGGTATTTATATAAAAAAACTGAAAATAAGGTTAATTAATTACTTGAAAGATTGCTGTAGCGAGTTCGTTAGTAGCTTCTCCCACGAAACTTGTGTCCTTAGGACCGCTTGATCGGCCCTTGCTCACCCATCTTGCACTAGACAGGCCCACCACGAATAACACTAAAAAGAAATAATAATGTAACATTCAATATAATATTTACTAAGTTCTAAAATACGATCATACAGTTCATGTATGATCACATAATTATATTTACCTACTGGTAGTTGTGTATTGATTGTAGACACTCATCATGGCTAAGTATATTTAATCTGTGGCTAGGCCCGCGGATATATCGGTTATCGCGGGAAAAGTAACCTATATCCATCATCAAAATCAAAGTATCGTCATGCGATACTTAATTAAAAGCGGTTTAGCGGTTTAGCGTGAAAGCGTTACAGAAAGACAGAGTTACTTTCACATTTTTATTATTAGTAGGGATATAGTAGAGATTAGTTCGGTGATATATATATGGCTATAAAGACGATGTTGACATAATTAAAGAAAAACCGTCAGATAATTTAAATAAAATATTACTGTTTTGGTACCATCATCCTTTTGAATTATTGCATTTATATTAAGACAAATAAAAGAATAGATATTTATGGTTAAGTTTCGAGAAAGTAAGTTTAACATACAGCCTGACTTAAACCGGTTAATTAAGTATACAACTACAATTTGGCCTCTATTTGAATAATAATTTAAATAAATAAATAATTTTAATTAGATAGATACTTAAATTTAAAGTATATACAGAATACCGCTTAAGAAAAGTTAACTTACTTAATGTAGTTGAACTACCGGTCGATTTAATTAACGCGTTTCGCAAAGAAACTATTTTAAATACAAACATACCAAAAAGAATAAAGTTAGTCAAGGGACATCAATTCGTAACTTGCTTTGACAAGGCTTAAATGTCAAGGTAATATTGATTTAAAATAAAATAAAAACTGTGTATTTAATAAATAACCAAACATTTGTAACAAGCACTCGATCGGCATAGTAATGTGCTCAGCACCTCATCTCTGAAAATCTCAGCAGAACAAAAGCAAGAGAAATTGTCACAATAATGCGGATCTGCGACATTGATCCTGTCCCGATTATTGACTTGCTCCCTTTTTACATTAAAACACATAGTACAACCACTTCTTTCGTTTTTTTCTGTTTGATACTTTTGCGAATATTTGACTTTTGCTTCATTATTCCTCGAAAGAAATAAGAAAAGTACATGTCCAATTGTTTTTTTTTTTAAATCTGTCCAGGCAAGCCAACCTAGGAATATTATACTTATGCATAATGTAATAAAACTACATTAAAACACAATAGTAAATTATTATATAATACAAATACAAAAGCTTATAGTCCTGCATTATAATTAAAAAAGAATAACAGTGTTTATTAAGTTGTTGTCAATCTTTAACAATACTAAAAAAGATTAAAGCCAATTAATGTTAGTAAATATTCTTTGGTGTAAACACATAAACAAATAACTATACATTAACGTAAATTAATTCTTCTAAACATTAACGTGACGTTTCAGTGTACAACATGCTATGCAATTTTCCATGACTGTTCAAATAAAAGTTAAAATCAAATTACTGTATTTATTTTGGGTCAAAATATTTAGGCCCTTTAGATTGAAATCAGTGACTGTGTTAAAACAGTGATTTCAAAAAGAAATTAACTGACGTGTTCAATGTCATTTACCGACATTGAGTATGTAAGTCGTATCCTGCGATAAACAGTTATAAACACTTTCATTTATATGTTAGTAAGATGCATCGGACCGCTACACGTATCGACCTACATTCATTCGAGATGTCTCTAAACCTGTCTTGAATCAATACCACCTCAAGGCAGTTACGTCGAGAACTCCACAATAATTGTTCTTATCTTATGGGTATAAGTCGTCAACGTTTAACAATTAATTTTCTGACTTTCTTTTCAGATGGTCAGATTGTTAACCGTTATTCGAATAAAAATATCGTACTATTTTTAACCACATTACAAAGAGAGGTTATTAACTTTTTTGTATATATGTATACATTTTCTGTAGATTTAAGGTGTGGTCTAATTATAGTCAGTTAACGGATTCATCCAAACCTTAATGTTTCTAAGGACAGATTGTACAAGAACCAGCTGTAATACTTTAGATAGCCGAGACATAAAACGTACACTGTATTTGAGTTATAAGATCCTACTATGTTGTTCTTATTGGTTTATAATCTAGAAAGCGGTTTTGTGAAAGTGGCTATTAAGTATATCTATTCATGACACTCGCATAAAATTATAATTAATTTTGCAGGTTTATTTTCTTAGTTTAATAGATATTGTGATGCATACTTATTGATACTGATGACAGCGGTCATGATTTATTGTTAGAGAATGGCTTGTGTATTAAGTCTGCTATACAAACGTCCATTTTTTAAACGTCAAGCTAATAAGTCTACTGTGGTAAAACACTAATAAAAGTGTTTTTAATTACGTTCTAGCATAATATATTTTATGTACATATTACAGAAACTTTAATTGGCTATAAAAATAATTATAAAAAAATCCATATCCGCCAATTCATTGCCAGAAACTACACAACATTTATAATTTTAATAAAATTTTCATTCTAGGTGAGTGCAATTGTATTAATTACAGAAGCAAGCGAATGAATCTTATTAAATGCCACATTATCTGCACGTTGTACGTAACGTACCTACATAGGGCTATAACTCGTACAGATTCCTCAATTATTATTTTTTATTTCAAAACGAACTGTCACACTAGGAATTTTTCCTGTGTCACATGGGACTTAGCAAACATACATGAAACGGATATAAAGAACACCTAGACTCAGAACAACCATTTGGAGATCACACAAAGTGTTGTTTCGTGTAAGGATCGAACCTATAACAATCTATATAAATCTGAAATAGTAAATTTTGCAAAATAAAGCTTAATTGTTCATAGATAATTCACGACTAGACTAATGCACGAATCCTACAAGGTTTCGTGGGAACCCTAGCATTGCAATTCACGGTTGAGATGCTTCGGTGCCATGTACAGATGCAACGGTAAGAAATGGTGCCGTAACGATGAATGTTCTAGCTTGCACACAGCAGACTATGCATCACACGATATGTCAATAACACCGCAATGTTTAAGCTAAAAACTTCAAGATTATTCTTGCTATATCCTTCCCTTGCGTAACATTTGTAAGTTTCTGGATATAAAGTGAGTATATAAAACTTTATGACTTATTATACAATAACCATTTTGTTATAGCCTCAATCCCTCTAGACGGTTTATTGGACGTAAAAGAAAAAAAAGTCTATCGAATCAGACTATTAGAAGTTGACAATAGACTACTTACAGCGAACAAACAAAAGAAGCTTTGTAATTTGTGTAGATTACCTGTCTCGTTGATATATTAAGTGATTTACAATTACTATTCATATTAAAATTTAACTATATCTATCGATAACTAAATATGTTATATTTTTTGCTTCATAATGACCGATCGACACAACGCTTGGGAATAAAGAAAGGTATGCGCGAGCGCGATATTGCTTCAATGTGAGGTAAAGTATAGCACGGTGCAGCGGTGAACGCACTTTAGTGACCCTGCACTATTGTACTCAGGTACCGATAGCAAACTCGAGCAACACGGATCTCAGAAATATTTAGTGAACACTGATCAGAACACTTAGTGTATAAAACTCAGTTTTGTCCATTTGCCTGGCAATTCCTGATGATATTTTTTATAAACTACACTCAAAAATTTATTAGACTATACCTACTATATTTATACCTACACACACACACACCTTCACATTTAAAGATTGTTAGTGATAAGTACATATATGGCCGTGGTGCTGTGTAATAATGATTTACCCAGCCTCGACAGCTTCTTGAGCTGATCCAATAAATTTTATATAAAATCAATTTAAAGTTAATTTCTTTTAGTTTCTTATTTAAAATAAATATATAAGCATATTCTGACATAGTTATTCAGCAGTAATGATTAAAAAAATATCAATTCTCCAAACCATTGCATGCAGTTTCCGTTATGAACATCACCCCTAATTCTTATTTAAGACAGCAAATCACAATCGATTACTGTGGTACACGTATGTAGTACCAAATGTAGTACACTATAGAAGACCCCAGAAAATTTGTGTTAAAAATCAAATATATTTGTTTCTTTTGTAGTAAGTTTAGGCCTAAGGTAAATGCAGAAAACCAACGTTAACCTATCTTGCATCGCTACTAAATGATACTATAGAACTTCTGTTTGACTGGAATCTCCTTTGTGAATATTGCAACATTTATAAAAATGTAAAAAAAAATTAACTATCATCAAGCATTTCAGACACAAATAATAAAGTTATTCTTCAATTTAAGAAAAATCCTTTAAGATTTTTTTACAATCCGTACACAACTCTCTAAATGCATACCTCCTGGGAAAGTAATTATGAAGCCTCAGAACGAAATATAGATGTGCAAGTAAAACCATATACTTTTGTAATTCATTTGCTGGTATGTCATACAAGTGTAGATTCAACTCTTCGGTGCTTATTGTCACAGATATTCATTTATCTTGTATCGATGTAGTTGTGTGTAAACGTTTTCTCATAGTTTCGGCCAAGCCTATAGCGCACTTTTCACCTATTCTCAATACTATCCAATGGTGTTAGTCAAAACTTTTGACAACTATATTTGACTAATGGAGCTTTGCTAAATGGTACCTGTCTTTGCTGTATGGTACCTCTATTGATTTTAATGTCGAAAAACCTTTTGATTAATTCATGGTAACTGAACGCACAACATAGTATTCTATCTAAAATGCAGGTTACGTAATCCGTAAAAAACTAAATAAATATTAATCATCAGTTACACGTAATCTAAACATCGAACTTGTTTAAACATTGATCCAAATTTCACCTTGCTATACAAAAATCAACTGTACAAAATATTACACAAAGTTTATTTTTATTTTGGCCAAGTACTTGTGCAAATATGTCATGAACAAAGAAATAAATACGTAACTGACGTATCACATACGGTATTTATATAATTTGTATACGACCATCAACCTCTGTCATGTGGTATTGTACAATATTAACATAAA